CAGTCCTTTCCGCAACTGCAGTGTCTCCCCCCCTTCCTTTCCCACATAAATCCTTTATTCCTCTCATTCATCGATTTCCTTTAGGCATTTCCAACGTTCCCTTCCTTTTTTCCTCAATCTTTTCCTCCATACCGTAGGTGGCGGAAACCACCAACAAATGCATTCCCAAAGAGGGTTGACGTCAGGCAGGCGGCCGGTCGTAAAACTAAAAACCAAATCTTTTTGTAATATGGATAAAATCATATTACGCCGACCACAAATGATTGGGATAAGGGTAGGAAGATGATGATTTGTTATGAATATTATATATTTTTTAAATGATATGTGGTCATCATCATCATCACCATATTGGCTGTTAACTGTCCACTGCTGAACATAGACCTGTTTAATAAGGGGGGTTTTGCCAATAGTTACAGGTGGGTTGTCAACCGTAGTTAGCCTTTGGTGACGTTTTAAGAGATCATTAAGTTCCCTTAGTGGTCTCTTACGACACTTATGGGAAAGGGTGGCCCATTTCATGATGGCAAATATATATTTAGAGATTTATTAAATTTGGTATTTTATCTATGTATACGAATTATTATTATATTTGTATGTACAAAAATAGTGGCCCTGGTATCTCGAGTAAGGAAATTATTTATTTATTTTTTATTAATTCTTTATTGCACAATAAAACTTTGTACAAGTGGCGAGCTTAGTGCCATATGGCATTCTCTACCAACTAACCAATTAGGCAAGAACAGAAAGTGTATGAAGGGCAGAGGTGGTGAAAAATATGTGACATAATAATAATAATAATTTATTTTTATTATTTAAAAAGCTATACGTATTAGCTTTTACTCGCAACATCGTTCGAGTAATTAGGTTATGTTGATTGACAGGGACAAATAATAGCTTTTTCATCCTATACACTACGTGTTTAGCAAATTTCATATTGATTAGTTCAGCCGATAAGATGCTATAAGGCAACAAACAAACAGACTCTGTTTCATATCTATAATGTTATTAAGGTTTTTAACTATAAGTTGTTATTTACTATTTCTAAATTAAGAATTAAATAATTAAAAGAAAATGGAAGAAAGCTTCAATTTATATAATTACTTAATTAACATCGATTGAAATTATGCTTTATACTACTTAATAATATTATTTGACGAAAAAACATTAAAAGTTTTTAGAGTCCGCCAACTAAAACTTATTATAACTAACTAAATATTTAATGGGATTTAATATAATCATCGCAACATGTGAATAAGTTAATGGTTTCCCATTAATTTGAGACATGGACAATGACTGACTGAATCCGTACTCTGTATTTTTTCCCATTGACTTGAGACATGGACAATGACTGACTGGGTCCGTACTCTGTTTTTTTTTCCCATCGATTTGAGACATGGACAATGACTGACTGGGTCCATACTCTGTATTTTTTCCCATTGACTTGAGACATGCACAATGACTGACTGGGTCCGTACTCTGTTTTTTTTTCCCATCGATTTGAGACATGGACAATGACTGACTGGGTCCGTACTCTGTATTTTTTTCCCATCGATTTGAGACATGGACAATAACTGACTGGGTCCGCACTCTGTATTTTTTCCCATTGACTTGAGACATGGATAATGACTGACTGGGTTCGTACTCTATATTTTTCCCACTGACTTGAGACATGGACAATGACTGACTGAATCCGTACTCTGTATTTTTTCCCATTCATTTGAGACATGCACAATGACTGCCTGGGTCCGTACTCTGTATTTTTTCCCATTGATTTGAGACATGGCCAATGACTGACTGGGTCCGTACTCTGTATTACATAAATCCATAAACGCTCGCCGGTTACGGGTACTTTTAATTCGGCCCTTCTTCAGCACGTCGCCTATTTGGTCAACATACGTCCGTCTAGGGCGGCCCCTACCAACATCTCCATTCTAATATAAATAATAACTAGATATAATACTAAGAAATAAAGATTTCCTACGTAAACATGTATGTACAGGAACATATATGAATACGAATGTTACACAAAGTACTTGAAATAAGTTAAGTAGCAAAACAACACAACTTTGCAGTCGATGATTCTATTAAGAGGTCTAGTCTTTAGTCGTATATCTATAATGTATACAAAGTATATAAGGCATCTGTCTCACTGTAGAGAAGTGGCGGATAGTGCAAACATGAATATTTTTTTTTTAATGAACGATAATGGAATGGTAGTAATGATGACAGATGACGATGAAAGCAGGTCAGTCAGTCCATCGTGATGAATTGCCATAGAATTAACCACGATGGTTTCTAGAGGGAACTACGTGGAGGTCGACCTGATAGGGTTACTAGCAATGGGGTAGTTAGACCCCATTACAAACAATCCCTTTCCCCCTTCTATTGCCTCGTTTAAATAAAAATTTAAGATATTTCTGCTAGAAATGTGAAGGCGATGGTTTTTCTATCAGGTGGGCCGTCAGATTGTTTACCATTCTAAGTTGCATAAAAAGGAAAGAAAAGAAAAAAAAAAACAAATTTTCTTTATAGAACCAATCGTATCCTTTATACATTTCATCCACCTCTATTACTCCTCTCCATCCAAACGTTGGAAGAGATCGCTTTTAGGGCCAATGTTTTCTCACCGAGATCATTTCTTGTAATTGTTTGTATTTATAAGGTATGTAGGCACTATCAGATATACAATTGTCTATTACTTTGTTTGTCTTTGACACAGCTCTCTCTTCTCTCTGACATCGTCCCGCGTTTACATGTATAATGTTGTAAACGGCTCTATTTTCCTTATATTATGTAATTCCTGTATAATAAATACGTGAATACTCACCGTCAAGTCTTTTAATCACCAACTACATCAGGACCCAATGATATATGTACTATTTAGTTGTAAAAGCTTTTATATCGTATTAAGTCCCGATTTGTATGTATTTAAAACATGTTAATATGATAGATAAACACTTTATTTGAGCCATTTATGACACACGTGAATTAATAAATGAGTTTATACAATCAGATTTACATTTTTTTTTTAATATAAAACAAAAGATGAAGTATGGAAATATGTTTTCACCAAGTGGGTCGCAGTGACCCAAATATGATTCCTTCTTTCTGAGATTCAGTGTGATGACGCTTCCTCGCTCACGGTGAGACTAGTCCCTTCACCGCACAAGCTTAACATGGCGCCTGTATCTAGGATATAAATTATAAATAACCATAAATTAGTATAAGATATGTTAATTACAACTTAGCAGTCAGTGTGTTAAACATACCCAACGAGGAAGGGCTCGATGTGATTCAAATGGAATTTTAAAATGTACCATTCGTTGTTTTTAATTTTATTACCGTCTTAGAAATGTAAATACATCTGTCACGGGTCACTGTATACGTTTTCATAATAAACTTCCAGACAGAAACGTCTGTTCCATTCGTGTTTCTACCGTGAAGCAGTTTGCATGGCTGTGTTTTTCTTTAAAGGGTGGGATATGGCAGTGAATTTACAGGGTACAGAGGAATAACACCCGAGTCCTCGGGAATGATAACGCATGGGGGGAACAGTATACTCTGTTATGTCCATGGTACTGCTCATGTCTATAGGCGACGGTTACCACTTTCCATCAGGTGTGTGTGACAAGATGTGCTAAATGTGCTTTACCAGAGGGAGACTTTGTACAAAAGTCGGTTGCTTGGGTATTTCTGTCCTATTCGTGTTTCAACCGTGAAGCAGTTGTGTTTGCATGACTGTGTTTCGGTTTGAAGGGTGGGATATAGGTGAATTTACTGGGTACAGAGGAATAATATCTGAGTCCTCGGGAATGGCAACCCATGGGGGGTATCATGGGCGAAATAGTATAACTCCGTTATATCCATGGTACTGCTCATGTCTATAGGCGACGGTTACCACTTTCCATCAGGTGGGCCGTCAGCTTGTTTGCCATTCTAAGTTGTATAAAAAAAACTTTATTAATTTTCGGTTTCAGATCTAGAAGAAGACAAATGGAATGAATTAAGTTTGGCATTAAACGCTTCAAGGTACAAACTAAATAGCTGGAATTAGTTGAAATGTTGAATAAGTAACCATAGTTGCTTTCTTGATACTTCAATAGGAACCTGTGGGGAGGTATGTTTAGTAATGCGGACTATCAGTTCCATTGCTAGCAATATATTCTGTCAGGTCGACCTCCACGCGGTTCCCTCTGAAAACCATCGTGCTGAATTACAGGTGTATTCATCACGATGGGCTAACTGACCTGCCTTTTTATCCTCACCGATCATCTCTTACTGGTGCCCTGTCAGCGTATACTGCTAGTGCAGGCGGGGTTACCATTCCATTATTATCCATTAAAAAAAGTAGGAAATTGTGATAGGTGATGGTGATTTTGTAGTAACTGAAAATTCACTGATGTGACATAGTGGGAAACACCTGATATGTAACAGATACGTAATTGCCGTTTTAAGTAAATATATTTTATATATTATTCCTTTTTTTAGAGTACTATTTTTTTTTATTATTTAAACAAGAAAACAAAAATTAATTAAATTAATAGATAGTCAATACAATATTGACTTTACGTCCAACATCCGATCTAAAGGTCTAAATGCTCCAAATACTTGCAGCATTTCCACAATGGATTGCCAGAGATATCCTTTGAACATTATATTATTCCTTGAACATTATTCTTTGAACATCTCTTTTATACATATTTAGATATATAAAACAGTCTTGTCAAATACTCAGCATTAAATAAAAAAAAAGTTGATGTAATTCTGCTGCAGACCTCTTCGACAAATTGTCTGCAATAGCGTATTTCTATTACCTTCAACATGCCAAGCGGTAACAAACACCAATTAACAATGTATTAAAAACTGGCGGTTCTCAAAAGTATGGTGGCAAAGGAACACTCGACGCGCCCCTTACTCAGTGCTTTGAGGGTGTAAGGACACTTTTAGGCATAATAACGCATTGCGTCATACGCCGTTTCGTACTAGAGACGTTACCATGCGCAAAAGGCATTCGTGCGATCGCCGCCGGGCTGGAAGGCTGCGTGGCCCGTGACGCGTGCGTTCCGTCATTTTTAAATTTTCGAACTTACGCGCTTCGATTCCGGACGGTGTTTTCCTTTGGTATTTTTTATTGAATTCGTACGATAATAGAGTTTAGCGTTACGCGTGGTGTATTATTGTGTTTTATTATTGCATGTGATAATATAGAAGTGCAAGTGTTTTGACACGATTCACTGTGTAATTTTCAGGTGAAAGTGTTGTTTATTGTTGTAGTGATTTTTTCAGGATACCGCCAGTGTAAAGAAGGTAAGGTATTTTCAAATTTGCCATTAAAGTGCGTATTTATTAAAATAATCGTAATGAGATGCAAATTAGTATATATATAATATAAACAAGTGTAATTTAAATGTAAACATATTTTAAATCAATATAAGTATATTATTTTTTAAATAATTAAATAACTATTAACTTTTTTTTTAGAATGAATATAATTTTTATGTCTATATATTTACACCTGTGTACCTTTGATAGAGAGCCTACCCAATAAATAGAATAAATTAAAATTTGATTCGATATAAAACATTCCACTCTGTTTACATTTGGACTATTTCGTTTCTTAAGAGCTCATAATTATTATGTAAATAATAAATAATTTCGACAGAAGTTGTTCGCGAACTGTTAATATATTCCGGTTGGGGGGAAATAAGTTGTAAAATTCTCCATGGAAATGTAACCCGTAACAAAAAATGTTCTCGAAACTTGGATTTATTAGAATATATAATAAGTAAAGGAATTCGTTAGAGAAAAAAAAAAGAAAAAATACACCCTACTTATTTATAACTCAAGTGGCGAAATTTTCTTCGTAGAAGTAAATTTTGTTTTCGACCAGTTTCATAATATTAGAAATATCATTAAGCATATTTTTCCGTCTTCAACTCAACATCTTATCTTATGTATATATATGTTTTAATCTTTCAAGAGAAATAAAATTTAATTAAAATATTGTATGTTTCGAAAAAAAATTGAAAAAGACGATGTTTAGCTTTTATATTGATTTTTCACTAGATTTTTTTATGCCACTTAGAATGGCAAACAAGCTGATAGCTCAACTGATGGAAAGTGGTAACCGTCGCCTATAGACATGAGCAGTACCATGGACATAACAGAGTATACTATTTTGCCCATGATACCTCCCCCCTCCCCAATGCGTTGCCATTCTTGAGGACTCAGGTGTTATTCTTCTGTATGCTATGCAAACACAACTGCTTCACGGTAGAAACACGAATGGGACAGAGGTGCCCATGCAAACGATTTTTGTACAAAGTCTCCCGCTGGTAAAGATTTTATCAGTTCGATTCCAATTGGAAATCTAGCCATGTCTGATACGAGCAAAAATATTTATCACTGTCTCTGGAAGATACCTTGAAAATGTAAGAAAAATATTGGTATTGGGAAAAGGGTATTTGAATAAGAATTTTTATTTTGGCATTATACCTTATTACCTATCCATATTTGCTGCGTGCTCAGCGAGATATTTCATCATGGAATTTTGTTGGAAAATGATATTTCATCCTCTATTCGTAACTTTATTTAACCTATTAATTTTGTATTTTTAAACACATTCCTCAATTTTTTTTAGACAGAAGTTAAAAAGATTTACAGTCGTCTTCAAAAAGAGGGTGCTTCTCAATTAGTTCATTTATATAATTTGTTTTTTTTTTTTATATGAAAGGATATATTTTTTTTTATTTATTATTATTTGATAAAAAACATAAAGTTACAAATACAAGATACAATGGGCCCCTACACTAGGCGAGACTGTATCGTGGGCACCCGACAAAGATTAACAAGTCGCAAATGTGTTGTTATTAAAAAGTACATAGTGGGCGGGTATTAATATAATATAAATATAATATAATGAAAAAAGTAATAAAATCAACAATATAAATACACAAGCAATTATAAGATACTGATTTTTTTTTTTTGATGGGTGAAAATGGTATGGTAACCCCGCCTGCGCTAACGGTATACGCTGGCGGAGCACCAGTGAAGGGTGATAGATGAGAATGAAAACAGGCCAGTTAGCCTATCATGATGAATAAACCATGATAGTTTCCAGGGAGAACCGCGAGGAGGTCGACCTGGTTGGGTATATTGCTAGCAATGGGATTCTCAGTCTCCGTTACTAACAATCCCTTTCCCCTCTACTGATTATATTATGACTATATTATAGGATATGATAGGAGAAAGGATATACGAAAACAATTCAGTGGTTTAATTTTGAAATTGAAATAATTGGTTTTGCCATAATTATGGGCATTTTGTTTAATTACATAGTTAGGTGGAGTATTGACGTAATTTGGACTCATGATGTATTCGAGTAACTTGAAGTCATGCTCACCATAAGGTCCTGATCGAAAGGCGAGGTGGGCCGGATTATTGAGTTCCCTAAAATGTGGTTAAGCGCAATGATGGCTGGCTCATCCGTCATACTCGTGAACGGGTGCTGTTTGAGGGCTAGTCTGCTTATGTTTGCTTATTCATTTTTCATTAAATAATACATATAAATAGAGCTCAATACTAATTATGGTCACAGTAGCTATACAAATGTAAAATTATCTTGTACATAATAATTTGAAAAGAGTAACTGTCGAGTTTCTTGAGGTTTCTTCTCAGCAGATAACAGCATTCCGAAACCAACAGTAGAATCATTAAAAATTAACGATTTCAAAGAGCTTGTTAACAAGTTTATTTGAATAACAAATATATAATGTGCGAAGCCGGGGCGGGTCGCTAGTATTTAATAAGAGATAAAAATGTTAAAGTCTTTTTGCGTTATTAGTACAGGCACAGATAAACTAATAGGTATGCTTGCGAGTTAAATGACTTAATGCAGTTATTATCATTTCTTACGCAAGTATATAATACAATTTATGAACAAAACACATCGAGTATTTATCACATAAGATATAAATATACAATACCTATATTTTTTGTTTACATTTATACAATTTAGAGTAGTAAATAAGTTGATAGCTTGTCTCGTGGAGAGGTAATTGTCGTTTATAAAATAAAAAAAAAATGTACTAATTAATTAGGTAAAAACAGAAAATGTATGAAGGGCAGTGGTGGTTTTTTTTTTATACAACTTAAAATGGCAAACAAGCTGACGGTCCATCTGATAGAAAGTGGTAACAGTCGCCTATAGACATGAGTAGTACCATGGACATAGCAGAGTATACTGTTTCGCCCATGATACCCCCTATGTGTTGCAATTCCTGAGGACTCAGGTGTTATACCTCTGTACCCTGTAAATTCACGACATATCCCACTCTTCAAACCGAAACACAGCCATGCAAACACAGCTGCTTCACGGTAGAAACACGAATGGGACAGAGGTACCCAAGCAAACGACTTTTGTACAAAGTCTCCTCTGGTCTTGGTGGTGGGAGAAATGTAACATAATTATTGTAATAAACTAAAATGATTATATATACTCATAATATATAAACATATAATACATAATATATATGAATATAATAGGTTTGTTTGAATCGAAGCATTTGGCGTTCCATTGTTTCTGCCTACCCTAATGGGAGACAGGCGTGACAGATATGTATGTATGTATGTATGTATGTATGTATGTATGTATGTATGTATGTATGTATGTATGTATGTATGTATGAATATACTAATAAGGGCTATTGAATTTTTTTGCTATTTTATGCAAATGTAAGGCAAAATTTCACGAAAGATTAATGACAATAAGTAATCCTATTGTAAAGACTGTATTCCTCACTGCATACCTGACGACAAAGAATTTATAATAAAATGATTTAAATTGGTATTTTATTAATTAATTAAAAAATTGTAATTATTTTAAAGTAAAATTTAATCGCAATAATTGTAAATTATGGGTATATACATGAAAATAAAAGATTTATTATTATTTTTTAAATTTTACAAAAATTCTCATCTCCCCTCTTAAGGAGAGGAGATGGCAACTAACCCCCGGCAGAATCACAGTCGGCCGGAGTTCAGGGCCCCAGCGAGAGAAACCGGCGTACAATGCGGGCAGTATCTAAGAGCACCGCTCTCTGCATCTTTCCCGGGAGTGAGCCGCCTCGGAATACCAACCGTCTGTGATGCTGTTCCAGACTGGTTGGGATAAGACCGTTCACCGACATAACGATTGGAATGATTTCGGTGGACGTCACCCCCCACATTTCGGTCACCTCGTGAGCCAGGTCGAGATATTTTCTCTTTTTCTCAGTTTCGGTTTATTATTATTATTATTATGTATAATGATTTAATGGTTAATGTATATAAAAATGTAAATTAATTTGACGCCAACACTTAAAGATACCCCATGAAAATGACAAACGGCCGTTTTTACATTATAAAAGGATGAATTTAAATTTCACACGAAAATGTTGGTAGCGAACATATTTCAATAATGTTCGATTTTGAATAAATGTTTTATGGGCGGCCTTAGAATGGGCTTAGTCGATATTTAAATTTATTACTTTTGTTATTTTCGCATTTATAACTTCATACGACTGTGAGATCTTTCTAACCGAGTACTGACGAAAAGTGGGTAATGATCTTTTGGACGTACGCGTATATAAAATGTGGTGGGATTTCTTTCTGGTGCGAACTGTGTTTCGGTTTGAAGGGATATGGGATATGGCGTGAATTTACTGGGTACAGAGGAATAACACCTGAGTCCTCAGGAATGGCAACGCATGGGGGGTATCATGGGCGAAACAGTATACTCTGTTATGTCCATGGTACAGCTCATGTCTATAGGCGACGGTTACCACTTTCCATCAGGTGGGCCGTCAGCTTGTTTGCCATTCTAAGTTGTATAAAGAAAAAAAAGAATTATCAAGGAGTTCTTTTGAAGAATGATAATAGTAACTCCGCCTGCACTAACAATATAAGCTGGTGGGGCATCAGTGAGAGATTATAGGTGAGAACAAAGGTCAGTTAGTCCGTTGTGATGAATTCATTTGGAACTATGCACGATAGTTTCCAGGGGAAACCGTGTGGAGGTCGACCTGGCAAAATGTATTGATAGAAATGAGGCTAACAATCCCTCCTCTCCCGATATCGTGTAGTTACAAGTTTATTCATCATCATCATCATATTGGTCGTTAATTATTCACTGCTAATTATAGGCAACCTCCTATTGAGGTGGGGTGGTATAGGAGGGTTGCCAGGGTAAATTAGATCATATAGATAGACATTAAGTCTACAAATCTTTTGTTTACAACTTCAAGGCCGTTTTTATGTTATGTGAAATG